GAATTTCGAGGACGAAATTCTTTTTAAGGAGGGAAGAATTGTAACACCCCAATTTAGGGGCTAAATTTAAGAAATTATAAAGTGGTGGATTTAATTTGATGTTTTGAAAGAAACAGTGGGTTAAATTACAAGATTTCAAAGTTGGAAGACCATTTTAAGAAGTGCAGGAAATTCAGTGGCTAAACCCATGATTTAACCATTTTTTAATATGTTGAATTATAAGTTCTCTCCCGTGCGCAGGTTCAGGAGAAAATTTTCCAGTTTTCCCTCTCCAACTACCCTCCTTTCAACTCCGATCTACTCGCCGTCTGACCTCCGATCGACGAGCCGAAACCACCACCGTGTTCGTTGCCAACCGAGGAACAAAACCCCTCAAACCTTTCATCGTGAATCGTCGTCGTTCGTCGTTAATTTCTGTCGAAAGTATCGTCGGTAATAACTCGGTTTTTGTTGGTTTTTCATCGATTCACGACGATCGGGTCATCTGTTTACGACACCTCCCGCACCATCGTGTTCCTTGTGCCGTTCCGAGTCCACCGGTGTTCTCCTTTTTCTCCGGCGGCGGCAGCGCGTGTGGAGGTGAAGCGGTCAAAGTTTCCGACATTTCAAAATCGAGCTCTCCGCCGTTCAAAATTGTGAACCGAGCTTTGTAAGTATCTCGAAATCGCTCAAAATAATTTTTAGAAATTTTTCTGTGAATTTTACACTGCCGGAACAGTGCCCACGCGCCCCCACGCGCCGCCACTGGGGAAGACAAAAGTGACCGGTTTGACCGGTTTTAGTGGATAGTTGACCGGTTTGACCGGTCATAACCCGACCCGACCCGACCCGTTTACCCGACCAGTTGACCCGACCCGTTGACCCGACCCATTGACCCGACCCGTTGACCGTTGACCGTTGACCGTTGACCCACGTTGACCACTGTTGACCAAAACTTTGACCGGCTTTGATCGAGCATTAAACGACCTTTGACTTCGACCGAGTATACCTATCCTGACATTTTTCGACGTTCCAAATCCGATTCCGCTGTCCGTTTTTCGAAATTCGAACCCGAAGACCTCGAAATTGCCGGTCAAACCCGTTGACTTTGATTTTGACCGAATATTCCAAATTTCCGAAAAGTCATATTTTATGCTTTCGACGTTCTGAATCCGAATCCGAAGTCCGTTTCGCCAAATTCGAACCCGGTAAGCCGTCTTTCACTGATTTATCACCCAATTCGATCCGTTTATCGTAATTAAGCTTCGTTTCTGATATAATTTATGTTGATATGTATCTGAGGAATTATGGAAGTTGAATTGAAGATCAAAGGCGTTCGAATGGAATTTTTATGGTCGATCAGTATTGCACGGAAATCGAGGTAATACTTTACTACCTCTTTATGCTTTATGGAACATGTTGGTATTGATAAATGCATGAATGGAAATGTTTAGTCTCATATGTGTAATTAATGAAGATCTACACTAGGTACAAATACGGTAGAAAGTAGATAACTAAATATGGCTCAGATGACTATTATAAGAAATTGGAGGACGGTTTGAATTAAATTACAAGTTCTGGAATTAAGTAATAAAAGAATTAACCATGGATTGTAGATTATAATTTATCTCATTAAAGGTACTTATATGATAAATTAAGAGAATATTTCGATTAGGGAAAATTACGAAATTACCCTTATGTTGGAAAATGATAAGAATTGTCTCTGGAAGTGGATTAATAAATCTGAAAAGAATTATTGATCTGCTAAAACTATTGATGTGCATAAGAAATGTTAGTTTTACTTGGAAATTATGGAGAACCGGTTTTTAACCCAAGAAGGTTTATGCAAGATACTAGAAGTGTGTTAAGGGAATTATTTCAAGATCAGAGATTGTTCAAGAAAGAAATTAATCATATGATCTCTAAATTATATTATTTTCGTTAAGAGCTAATATCGAACTTATCTGGCTAAGAAATTACGGAAATGCCTTAAGAGGTAGAATAGTCTGAGATGACTCTGAATGAGAAAATACTTAGAGGATTCGTACTTAACTCGAATAAGTACGGATTTAATTGTTAAGATCCCGACTTAGTGCAGGAAAATTTATGATATTCCGTTTGTAAAGTCTGAGAAGACACTTGACCTGAAAATATTCGAATAATGAGTAAATACTGGAAGAGTAATTTATCGGGGGTATTTTGCTGTCAGAATTGTTCGAAAGGACTGAAGTAAATGATAAGATTGAATTAAATAATAAGATCGGATGGAAGGAAAAGATTGAAATACCGTAGATCTGTAAAATGACCAAAATACCCCTGTAATGGAAATGAACCAAGAATATCACCAAGCTCAGGAATGATTGGATATCCTCGAGCTCTGAAATGAATGGAATAAAACTGAATACCAAAATTTACAAAATAACCTTATGGCCTAAATTAAGTAAATGTATTGGATTAATTAAGGAATCCAAGTAAGCATAAGTATTGGACTACCTTTAAAGGTAATGGAAAACAATTTAAGTGAATAGATCAACCCTAAAGCTATGTCAATACTTGAATGGCATAGATATTACTGGAACATGTGTTCGTCTTCTCAAGTTTGGCTCAATGATAATTTTGGAAGTATTCAGCTCAGCTCAGCTCTAGATCGTATTCAGTACTAAGAATTGGATGTTTGTTCGACAAATCAACCACGAAGACCAAATTGAATGGAATGAAAGTACAACATGTATCTGAAATTCAGGAACGTTTGAATTACTCTGGAAAATCCTGAAGTAACTGGAATGGACATGACTGCTAAATGAACTAGGTAACCTCAATGACTAAGGATTTAATAAGTGATTTGGATAAGTCTGGAAACTCTTATGAGTTTACGTAGTGTACAATTACAATGGGTTATGAACAAATTAATCAAGTACGTCATCATTTTATGATATTGTGGAAGCGTGGAAATGAAATAAAGACATTGGAAGATTTATTCAGCGATGATTCCGAAAATGGTCTACGGACAAGAATTTGTGGTATTAAAGAGTAAATACCCTAGAAGGAAAATGAATTGATCAGTCGACATAGATTGTTAAGGTTCTGAATCTTCGTTCTCAAGTTGTTCGATTATCCGATCAATTGACATGGATATAAAGGATTCTGAATACCCTTCTGATTACATACAACTTCTGAAAACTGTCCAAATAAGATATGATCCTGATAATTCACATTCTGAATAACTGATGATTATGTCAGTTATTGAACTTTTCCAATAGTATTTCTAACGTCCGGTATTTTATCGGTATACTGAAAATCCGTGTTTCTCTGCCTGCTAAGATTATTTAGCATCTCTGAATAATATCTGTAAACTCTGGTGTGTTCCCTAATCATATAAATATTTTATCTGATTTCCGACTTGAATTCTGTTCTGATAAATGACCTGAATTCTGTTCTGATTTCTGATCTGGATTCTGTTCTGATATCTGTTCTGAATTCTGTTTTGATTTCTGATATCTTCGTTTAATGACGGAAAAATGTTTTAATTGGGGGGTATTGTTGAAGGAAGAATTTCCGCAGGTACCTCGGCTTTGTGCTCAGGGCCTTATATGTTGTGGGTTGGGTGTATGGTTCTGGGGAACCTACACATTATGTTGTGATGGGATGGGGGTATATATATATATGTGTTTTAAAAAGATCTGAAAAGTTACATGGTTTTTGGGAACACATTAGAAAACCTATTCTGATATCCTGAACCTAGACATCCGAAATATTTCCATCTGAAATGAATACTATTTGTTACTACATGCGATATCAATGGACCTCAGCTCAACATAAAGATCTGTAAATATCTGAACCAATAAGGAAAATATGTTTATCTGTATCTGCACGTTTTTCAGCATCATCTGGTAGTTCTTTATTACTGAGCTTTTCGAAGCTCACTCTATTACTCACCTTTTCAGGTTAAAAGAATTGTACCAGTGCATCTATCGACTTCAGTAAGAGAGTTCTTCCGGCGTTGTTACAGAGTATGGTACATGTGATTAGGGGGCATGTAATTGTATTTTGATTTATATACGAGTCTGGAAATATGTTTTATTTTTAAATAGTGACAAATGATTTTATAAGTTTACATGTTCTGATAAAAAGATTTAAATTTTCCGCTATTTTTACAATGGGTCGCTCCGGTGGCCCTAATGTGACTTCCCGGATCGGATTGGGTTACCCGCATCGGTCTGGGGGGTTACATTTTTATTTAATTAGATATTTGAATTTATTTTTTTAATTTAAATATATAAAAATAAATGTTTAATTTTATGTTATGGGTGTAAACTTTTTAAGAATTTATATTAAAATTTTTTAAGAATTTAAAAATTAAATTATCAATAAAAATAAATAAATTATATAAAAATTTAAAAGTTTTAAGGTATGATCGCCTTCAATAATCCCTCAATCCATCCAATGAGTTTTTATCCAAGTAATCAAGATTAGATATCTATATATATAAAAAAGTTAAATATTTATTTGAACAAAAAAAATAAATCCAAATATCAAATTGAACTAAAAATAAAAAATTAAATTTAACCTTGAAACTTAATTTTTTTAAATATCAAAATGTATATTAACCCTTATATAAATTAATAAAAACTTAAAATGTTGGAGTTGTTTAATGTACTTATGTTTTGAATATAAGATAAGGTATCAAATGAAACTAAACTTTAAATGATATAATTTTTGTTTTTAAAATAGCATATACACCGATTAATCACATTATAGATAAATATTTATTCAAAATTTGAAATTATATATTTTTTGTCTATGAAATCTTTTGTTTAATGGTATTAAAAGAGTCTTGAAAACTTTAAAATTTTATGATTGAATTTCAGAGTTTCTTAATATATATTTCCTTTTAAATCTTGCCTATTTGACATGCATTATAATGGCTAATTTTGGTTATAACCATTCACATATATTAATTGTAAAACATATATGATGTAAGAATAAGATTCTCAAAATTGATCACTTCACCAACTCATCTATCAGAATTCATACTGAGGAAGTGGTTGAGAATATAAGTAACACCAACAAGGTTACACCACATAACTAGGGTTTTTTACACGCTCCGCTGTGTATCTTCATACCAAGACTTGTAAACAGAGATATGATGTAGAATTCAAGACCACAAGAACTATCGCCAACCAAATAAGTGCATTTACGTATGGAAATTAGAAGAATATATGGTTCCATCCTTGAACAACAATTTACGGAGCAAGCTAGGCGAAAATGTCAGGTACCAGAGTTGCTGCGAGTGCAGAGCTTTGATTGTTCAAGACCTCATGTTTTCCAAACTCGAACACTGCCGTCCACAGAGGCAGTTATCATACAGTTGTCTTTTGGATGATAACTCACACTTGTTACCTGCCAAAGAAAAAATCAAAGGAATTGAATGTCATTTTAGTTGGTAGTAATGATAAACCAATAAAAATGATAGCCCTGCAATGTCATGTTTGGTTTGGGGGAATGCCTATAACATTCCCCTTTTATTCAGCTTGCTACAACAACCATTTTACTTGGATCAGTGAATGGCTATCATTGGTAATAGTCATTCTGTGATGCAATAATTGACCAAAAGTGGTTGCTTTGGAGAGCTTGACTTTTGGTGGAATGAAATCTGGTTGCAGCCTCGCACGGAGTCGTTGAAGCTGCTAGTGTGCTGACAACCAGATGTCACTGGCTGCAGGCCACAACCAGCTGTTGTTGCGATGACAATTAAAATATCAAGTTGTATTTTGCACCTCTATTGTATTTTATTTATATTGAAGGCAAAGTTGTATTTCACATGCTTACTTGTATATCCTTTCATATGATTATAACCAACCATAGTATTAATATTATTCCACCTCTATTGTATTCCAATGAACCAAAGTACCAAATCACTTAATAGCTATTTTCTTTTTCTATCCAATTCCCAACTAAAAGTAAATCCATTTAATGAACCAAATGTGTCGTTAGACTTTACAAACAGTGAACATAACATGCGTAAAAAGAGGCTGGTTAGGTCAAACATTGAAAAGATTTCAATGTTTCTTATAGTGAAAACAAAATCAAGTATTAGTATGATATGATCTAATCACTGATGAATAGGTAAATTATCCTGAAAATTCAACAGTACCAGAAGAAGCATTCGGAGAATAAATAAGAAAAAGAAAATAGTACCACTGATGAATGAGCTCGGAATTTTGAAACCACAGATGCATCTACCAGATCCCAGAAGAAGATTGAGCCATCCACAGATCCACCAATTACATGAGCGTCACTGTTGGATAGGCAGCAATCCATTTTGTAGGACTATCGCAGAATAACAAAAAGCAAATTATAGCAATTCGTGAACAAAAAAGAGTGGAAACCTAAAGAGCTTGGCTGAAATATGTCCTTTATATTCAGAACCCTTTGGATCGATAATCAATACTTGAAGGGTGATAGACTAACTAAGATTAAAGGCATGATAAAAAGATTGCAAGATAAGGCCTGCATTCTAACCTTGCAAGCGTGCCCTTTATATTCCTGCAATAGTTCACCAGTGGACCTGCAGTAGGAGAACCCAGATTTAGGGGCATTCAAAGCTAGGTAAAAATTTGCAGCAAGAATCCAATTACGTTGAAGGCTTTACCTGTCTAAAAGTCTTATACTTGAATCCAAGCAACTGGCTAATATACAGTTACCGTCATTTGACATTGAGATACAGTTGACAGGTTGCCCTAAGTCATCTGATATTTCTCTACAGTAAAAAGCAAGGAAATCATTTAACGGATATTCACGGTGGCAATGTGGCATAATTCAAGTTAGAACCTAAAGCAAAACTACAGAATAACTTCTGCTACGTACCGACCCATTCGAATATCAAATGTTCGAACAGTTCCATCAACACTCCCACCAATAATTTCAGTCTTGGTTAAACATACAGACATAACAGTGTCCAAAAATGAGTCAATAATCTGCATAATGGACGGACTTTAATTTGATAAGCTATTATACACAGTAAAACGCATTCATAATATACATAACAACATGAAGTAGACAAAAATTTAGAACCTGTATGGGTTCAGTGCTGTGAGACCTGCAGTCCCAAGCACGCAATGATCTATCATAACCTGCAGATACTACCACAGATGCATACTCGTTAAACTTCACCGCATTCACCTAGGAAATATATTAACATAAAAGTGGAAACATCAGTAAACAATTGACAAAGACTTCAAATGTAGGTTTGCTCAAATTATTAGTTTTACTACTACCTTTTTTTTCATAAGCCAAATTAAAATTAAAATTTAAAAACGAGTTGTTATAAAATTTTGAAGAACTAAACAATAAGCATTTCACTTTCATCAATTTCCAATTATAAACAATAATTATTAGGGTAGCTACTCGTTTAGTATTAAACTATTACTTTTGTTCTATTTTGATACTCAAACTTTACTTTTTTTCATAACCATACCTAACATTAGTTTAGGTTTCAATTTGATACATAGCCCCGGTGATCAATTAACAGAATTACTGACATGATATTTTTTTTCAATGATGAAGTGGCATTAGCTTTTGGTGACGTGAAAACTTTAGTTATGATTTTGAAAAAAATAAAATTTGGGTACCAAAACAGAACAACAGTAATAATTTAGGTACTAAAAGTGTAGTTTACCCTAATTATTAATCTACATAAAAAAAATGGAAGTAGCAGAAGTAAAAACCTCGCCATCATGGCCGCGAAACTTGCGAATAACACGACCGGTGGAAACATCCCAATAGAAAATCTGCCGGTCTCCACCGCAAGAGCACAGCTTGGAGTTATCTCTACAGGAAAGGACATATTTGTTAAAATTTAGAACGAATCCAAAGAAAGGCATCGGGTAGGAATGAGGAGGAAGACGAGTACGGGGTGACGTGGACATCGCGAACTTCGCGGCCGTGAGATTTGTAGGTTTTGATGTGGATGCCGCGGTGAGGGTTCCAAAGACGGATAGTGCGGTCTTTACCGCAGCTCAGGCAATAGTTTCCGTCGCTGTTGAATCTCGCCGCTAATACTGCACCTTCGTGGCCTTTTAGCACGTTGGCTTCTTTTCTTGGCAGCTCCGACGAGGTCATTTTTCTCTTATTTTTTCCCCCTTGCCCTGCCCGGCTATGGTTTTTGATTTTGGTATTGAGCCTTTCAGAACTTGAGCCTAAATAACAAGGTAAACCACATTGGAAGTCGCTTTTATTATCGTTTTATCTTAATTTGATCACCAAAATTAAACAAATAATATTTCAACCATTTATATTATTAATTTACTACACTTTAATCACTTAGTCGTTAAGTTATATTTTGATCGTACAAAACGTTAGTTAAAAGGATTAATTTTTAATTCAACCCTCATACTTCAAAAGCATATCAATTTAATTTTAGAATTTTATTTAAAAACTTTATCGGCCTAGAGTTCAATCAAGTCCCTCGTTGTCTGTCATAGTTTACCACCCATCAACCATCGTTATCATTAATTATTGGAATAAAAAATTTTCAGCGAATTTTTTTAACTCTTGAACACAAAACTAATGTCTGTTTCACTAAAAATATATCTTATCATAAATTTATAACAATATAAAATATTAATAAATATATTCTCAATCAAAGTATTTTTCGATGAAATGAATATCGTATTCATATTTAATTTTAACAGTAAAAGTACATAGATTTTGTGATCGATGACAATGGTAAGGAGTGACCCAAAGAAGGAGATTTTGATCGAATTTTTTTGTATAACCATCGGTATCAGATTTATTGATCGACTAATTCGGATAGATATTATAGATGTAACACCCCAACTCGTATCCGACTCGAATATGAGTCTGAGATGTCACATTGACTTTTTGAAATAATATTCTTATAAGATAACAAAACATTTGAACTCATATTAAGGAAATACAATAATATTCTATTAAATTATGCTTCATTATAAAAATTTAAGTCAAAAACGTATTTATGAACAGTACTATATGATATGAACAGTGAAAATTTCAAATATAAATTATGTATCGATGCACTGCTACAGTAACTTCGGCAAAATACGCATAAATTCATAAAAATTTAATTTTTCAATCGTATAAAATTACCATTTACATATACACCTTTAAAACATTACAAAACTCATCACATGATTTTACAAACCAATAAAAACATATCGAATTCAAATCTTTATTACATGCCAACCACTATCATTATTACAAAATACATATTGTTTAATTCTTTTCTGATCTGATCTTTGGAAATGAGGAACTGACCTGTATTGCATAACTTTTATCAATCTTTCTCTTCTCGAAACCTACGTGTAAAACAATCACACGCTAAATCATAGACTTAGTGAGACATATAAAACATATAATAGAAATCATATAACATTTCACATAACAGAATGCATACATATACATATACCATCATTATCATAATCTCTATTTATCATCTGATTTTGTACTTATCATTTCGGTATATCATATAATACACATAACATCATGTAATTCATATAATACATTTCATATCACCACAAACATATACATCTCATATATTGTATTTGTTATTGTCTCTTTATTAGCCCATGTACATTATTGAGAACTTAAGGTATTCGAGTACATTGAGGTTGTGCACAATTGCAGTCACCACAGCTCGTATAAGTCCCACTAAGTGGCATATGAAATTTTGTCCCGAAGGACCTATGTATTTGTCCCGAAAGACCACGTAGACCCTTGACTCTTGGCATGCCAACTATACCTATAGCTCTCGTATTATATATCACGGGCATTATTCTTATGTTTCATATGTTCATGTACTCATGTCATTTCTCTTGTGATCACATATACCTTTTTTCTGTCACATACCACATGTATGTGTAAACATCTGTGTCATTTCATAAAACATATATCACATAGGTTTATATCATGTAACATATATCATTTCTCATGGTTTCATGTAAACATGTATATCATATCTTATTCACATATGTTCATATGTACATCACAAAGCACATAAAATAACATATAAACTTGTACATTTATTCATGTATATTCTTTCATCTAGTCCGTATATCAATGCCCTATACTTATCTCACAGTTTTACATAATCACTTATATTGAATTCATGTGTCTTATCTTACACATTCCTATAATCACTTATGTCAATACCACATAGCTTGTATTATAATTTCATATATTCTATTAGTTCATTTTCACATAGCTTATCACTTAGACATATATTCTCATAAATGATCATTACTTGATTTCTAAAATATTCCCATATAATTTTCTGGGTCTTTATTCTCTAACTCATATCACATAGAAATCGAACAAGTTTAGATCACAGTTCCACTTAAAAATATCAACTTTCCTATATAACTTATTTGACACATTTGTATACTCAATTATGTCAATATCTCTTAACTTATATTCTATTCTCATTTTTCATTTAACCACTTAGATTTAATTCATATAATTTATACATTGTTATCGTATAACTATTCATATTCTTATCACACCAAGTAACATATAACATCTATGAATCTATTCATGCATACATAATAGTCATATCAAACACATACTAACATTCAAATATTTATGCAATTAAATATTGAAATTAGACTCATCGCAAGTCTTATTTCCATACACATCATTTACAACTAGTATGCATTCACCTTAGCCTTGCTTTGATTCGATCCTAATTTTTTGATTGTTCCGGAACTTGTTTAGGCTCAATATCTACATAATCATAATTTCCGAGACGATTATCAGAAGCCTAAACCTTATAACTTGATATCAATAACTTAGGCTAATTTAATAAACCAAACTTCAACTTTTCCTTTAGGAGTGTACCGATGCACTATGGATGCATCAGTACCCAAATTAGGTTCGAAATTTCCGTGCATCGATGCACCCCTTAATGCATCGATGCACCTTCAAAATTATCTTAGTGCATCGGTACATAGTCATAGTGCATCGATGCACCTGCCCAGAATAGGCTATTTCATCCGAAAATCATCAACACTTCATTCAAATTTTCATGTATAAAATCCTTATTATGCTACTAAATTCATCTATAACAACTTTAACCAATTCCTATCATTCCAACACCTTATAATCTTCCATATTTCATCCAAATTCTTAAGGCTAAGAATCATACCAAATTTTTCATGTTATCCAAACTTAATTCTAACACTTCTAACTTCTTATTCCCATAGATGACAAGTCAAATTCGTCCTACAAATTCATTTAAACCTTCTTATTCAAAATTTCACTTAAAACCCCATTTTCTTTAATCTGTCATAACTCCTTTATCTTTTGATTTTAAGATAACTTAAGCTTTCCTTAAGCTTAGTTATCATATAATGATCAAAACCCAACATTTAATTCAACAAATAATCAACTAATTAAGAAACTCACCTTTGCTTGTATACTTCCACGGTGGAGAAGAGAAGAAGATGAAGAAGATGAGAGAATTGTGTGGAATCACAATGGATTCCACGTGGGTTTCCCTTATTTTATAAGGGAAATAATAATCTTTCATGTCAAATAACCATTTTGCCCTTTAATTCTTTTAATAATTACTAACAACTTTCAGGAAATATCTCCACATAAATCATTAAACTATTCAACTATTCTACTTTTATCACCAAATTCTAAAATTTTACAATTTAATCACTAACCCGGTATTGAGGATGTTACAATAGAGGTAAGGGCGACTCTCCCAACTCAGTTTGCTCACTTCTCAATCACTAGGATTTGCACCTCTAACCTTGTTTAAGAGATCTAATGTTTCATCCCACTTAACCAAGTGGTTGTTGGTATATTTTGATCGGATTTTGAGCGTCAGAAAGTTTCAATTCTATTTAAAGAATGTAAAAATGAATAAATTAATATTTTTCTAAAATTAAAAAAGTCAAAACTATTTTAATTATATGATCGAAATGATGGAAGTTGACTGGTCAATCATCAAATTGTAATAAATAGATAACATAAACAATCGAAATATAATTTTTTTGAATTTTGATTATTAAAATAGATAAAACAGAAATAATTAGTTGCCCAAATAATAACGAAACGATTTTGATGTAACTTGAAAAAGAAAAATTGAAATTACTTGACTGGCAACCACACTTGGTATTCTTCATGCAGGCAGCAGTTACTCAGTTAAACAAACCCCATCACCTTCCCTTAATTAATCCATATTGATCTTCACATTAACTCTTTACTTTTGTGTTCTCGTAAATCTCTAATATTCTCCTATAAATGACATTTCACCCTCACTGCACTCAATGAGCTGAAATCATGCACCAGTGAGATCGTTCTCTACTTGGTTAATGGACAAACCGATATAGGGCCCGAATGTTGCTGTGCCGTTGAGATTATTACTCGAAACTGCTGGCCTGCCATGCTTACTTCCCTTGGTTTCACTTCTGAGGAAGGCAACGTTCTTAGAGGCTACTGTGAGGCATCTTCTGCTCCTGTTGCTGCCCCTCCACATGCTACTGTTTTCTAGGCTTTAATTAAAGGTCTCATTGAGCGGATTGTTATGTTATTTTGGGGCACTACCACTAGGCATCTTTATGGTGGATTCAATAATTCGAATTAATAAAACAGTAGTTTATACAGCAAATATGATGTTTTCATCAGGAGCTGAAGATTTATGAACTTCTAATTAGTATTTCGTCTTAAAGTTTACGGTTACGAGTACATGTTGAGTGCAAGATGCATAAACGAATGATACTTCTGCAAAACTGGTCCAAAAACACAGTGGTTGATGAACTAAAATTGCTTGTTCTAAACCAAGAAAGGTGCTTGCATCAGAAATAAAGTTTTCTTCCCCTTAAGGAAGGGCTGGGCCTCATTTGTAAATTGAACACATTTCATAGGCACAGAGAGTTTAAAGATGAAGCCTGACACTTGCATCCCCAATATATATTTGGGCAGACTACTAGGATCATTCAAGTAAGGAAGAAGCTTTTAAACAGAGTATACCAAATGACACATTCCATAAGAAATCATCTTGGCTCGATCCATCCTTAATTATACTTTTTCGTATTACATGTTTGAAGATCTGAAGTGCTTAAATAGAGTTATAATGATAAACCAGAACATAAACTTAAGGATACATATATAGCTAAAATGAATTAATCAAATGATGT